GACTGACAGCCCGGAAATCCCTCAGTCACGAGTGGTAACACATACCTGGGCTTATTCAAATTTCAATAGTACATGGATTACGAAATCAATTAGAATCGACACGGCTGAACGTACAGGGTTGATTCCTTTTGAGACAGTCTCAGATTGGGCCAAAGTAGGTGCCTGAAGTGGACTGACAGCCCTGAGTTTCCTCAGTCACGAGTGGTAACACGCACCTGGGCTTATTCAAATTTCAATAGTACATGGATTACGAAATCAATTAGAACCGGCACGGCTGAACGTACAGGGTTGATTCCTTTTGAGACAGTCTCAGAATGCCTCTGAAAAGCCCTTAAATCAGTTCTGACATCCCTGAAATCCCTCAGTCACGAGTGGTAACACGTACCTGGGCTTTTTCAAATTTCAATAGTACATGGATTGCGAAATCAATTAGAACCGGCACGGCTGAACGTACAGGGTTAATTCCTTTTGAGACAGTCTCAGATTGGGCCAAAGTAGGTGCCTGAAGTGGACTGACAGCCCTGAGTTTCCTCAGTCACGAGTGGTAACACGTACCTGCGCTTATTCAAATTTCAAATAGTACATGGGATTACGAAATCAATTAGAATTGACACGGCTGAACGTACAGGGTTGATTCCTTTTGAGACAGTCTCAGAATGCCTGTGAAAAGCCCCTTAGATCAGTTCTGACGGCCCCTGAGATCCCTCAGTCACGAGTGGTAACACACACCTGGTCTTATTCAAATTTCAATAGTACATGGATTACGAAATCAATTAGAATCGACACGGCTGAACGTACAGGGTTGATTCCTTTTGAGACAGTCTCAGAATGGGCCAAAGTAGGTGCCTGAAGTGGAGTGACAGCGCTGAGATCCCTCAGTCACGAGTGGTAACACACACCTGGTCTTATTCAAATTTCAATAGTACATGGATTACGAAATCAATTAGAATTGACACGGCTGAACGTACAGGGTTGATTCCTTTTGAGACAGTCTCAGAATGCCTGTGAAAAGCCCTTAAATCAGTTCTGACAGCCCTGAGATCCCTTGGGCACGAGCAGTAACACACACCTGGTCTTATTCAAAGTTCAACAGTACATGGATTACGAAATCAATTAGAATCGACACGGCTGAACGTACAGGGTTGATTCCTTTTGAGACAGTCTCAGAATGGGCCAAAGTAGGTGCCTGAAGTGGACTGACAGCCCTGAGCTCCCTCAGTCACGAGTGGTATGTCACGAGACCAACTAACCAGCATTGGGACGATATAACAGTGCCCTTCAGAGACAGTGGTCTAAACCATTGCGCTAAAAGGCCTATTAACCGGCGGTTACTGCATACCGCCGGTCGCTGGTTAAATACCCAACCCATCCTATCACTATCACTATCAAACTGTCTTGTCACTTCGTGACATTATGCCTTCCCTTTCAGCCCCATCTGGGGCCCCAACAGGGAAGGGTACGATAGGCCGAAAACTTTCTCCGAGAGGGAGGTTTTCCAAGTAGGGACTGAATTCGACCCAGCCCACCCTGGGAGTCGAACCCAGGATCCTACCCGTAACCGCCGGTTAATCTGTCACGAGACCAACTAACCAGCATTGGGACGATATAACAGTGCCCTTCAGAGACAGTGGTCTAAACCATTGCGCTAAAAGGCCTATTAACCGGCGGTTACTGCATACCGCCGGTCGCTGGTTAAATACCCAACCCATCCTATCACTATCACTATCAAACTGTCTTGTCACTTCGTGACATGGTAACACGTACCTGCGCTTATTCAAATTTCAATAGTACATGGATTACGAAATCAATTAGAATTGACACGGCTGAACGTACAGGGTTGATTCCTTTTGAGACAGTCTCAGAATGCCTGTGAAAAGCCCTTAAATCAGTTCTGACGGCCCTGAGATCCCTTGGGCACGAGCAGTAACACACACCTGGTCTTATTCAAATTTCAATAGTACATGGATTACGAAATCAATTAGAATCGACACGGCTGAACGTACAGGGTTGATTCCTTTTGAGACAGTCTCAGAATGGGCCAAAGTATGTGCCTGAAGTGGAGTGACAGCGCTGAGATCCCTCAGTCACGAGTGGTAACACACACCTGGTCTTATTCAAATTTCAATAGTACATGGGATTACGAAATCAATTAGAATCGACACGGCTGAACGTACAGGGTTGATTCCTTTTGAGACAGTCTCAGAATGGGCCAAAGTAGGTGCTTGAAGTGGACTGACAGCCCTGAGCTCCCTCAGTCACGAGTGGTAACACGTACCTGCGCTTATTCAAATTTCAATAGTACATGGATTACGAAATCAATTAGAATTGACACGGCTGAACGTACAGGGTTGATTCCTTTTGAGACAGTCTCAGAATGCCTGTGAAAAGCCCTTAAATCAGTTCTGACGGCCCTGAGATCCCTTGGGCACGAGCAGTAACACACACCTGGTCTTATTCAAATTTCAATAGTACATGGATTACGAAATCAATTAGAATCGACACGGCTGAACGTACAGGGTTGATTCCTTTTGAGACAGTCTCAGAATGGGCCAAAGTAGGTGCCTGAAGTGGACTGACAGCGCTGAGATCCCTCAGTCACGAGTGGTAACACGTACCTGCGCTTATTCAAATTTCAATAGTGCATGGATTACGAAATCAATTAGAATCGACACGGCTGAACGTACAGGGTTCATTCCTTTTGAGACAGTCTCAGAATGGGCCAAAGTAGGTGCCTGAAGTGGACTGACAGCGCTGAGATCCCTCAGACACGAGTGGTAACACGTACCTGCGCTTATTCAAATTTCAATAGTACATGGATTACGAAATCAATTAGAATTGACACGGCTGAACGTACAGGGTTGATTCCTTTTGAGACAGTCTCAGAATGCCTGTGAAAAGCCCTTAAATCAGTTCTGACGGCCCTGAGATCCCTTGGGCACGAGCAGTAACACACACCTGGTCTTATTCAAATTTCAATAGTACATGGATTACGAAATCAATTAGAATCGACACGGCTGAACGTACAGGGTTGATTCCTTTTGAGACAGTCTCAGAATGGGCCAAAGTAGGTGCCTGAAGTGGAGTGACAGCGCTGAGATCCCTCAGTCACGAGTGGTAACACACACCTGGTCTTATTCAAATTTCAATAGTACATGGATTACGAAATCAATTAGAATTGACACGGCTGAACGTACAGGGTTGATTCCTTTTGAGACAGTCTCAGAATGCCTGTGAAAAGCCCTTAAATCAGTTCTGACAGCCCTGAGATCCCTTGGGCACGAGCAGTAACACACACCTGGTCTTATTCAAAGTTAAATAGTACATGGATTACGAAATCAATTAGAATCGACACGGCTGAACGTACAGGGTTGATTCCTTTTGAGACAGTCTCAGAATGCCTCCGAAAAGCCCTTAAATTAGTTCTGACAGCCCTGAGATCCCTCAGTCAGGAGTGGTAACACGTACCTGGGCTTATTCAAATTTCCAAATAGTACATGGATTACGAAATCAATAGAATCGACACGCTGAACGTACAAGGGTTGATTCCTTTGAGACAGTCTCAGAATGCCTCAGAAAAAGCCCTTAAATTAGTTCTGACAGCCCTGAGATCCCTCAGTCACGAGTGGTAACACGTACCTGCGCTTATTCAATTTTCAAATAGTACATGGATTACGAAATCAAATTAGAATCGACACGGCTGAACGTACAGGGTTGATTCCTTTTGAGACAGTCTCAGAATGGGCCAAAGTAGGTGCCTGAAGTGGACTGACAGCCCTGAGTTCCCTCAGTCACGAGCAGTAACACACACCTGCTCTTATTCAAATTTCAATAGTACATGGATTACGAAATCAATTAGAACCGGCACGGCTGAACGTACAGGGTTGATTCCTTTTGAGACAGTCTCAGAATGCCTATGAAAAGCCCTTATATCAGTTCTGGCAGCCCTGAGATCCCTCAGTCACGAGTGGTAACACGTACCTGCGCTTATTCAATTTTCAATAGTGCATGGATTACGAAATCAATTAGAATCGACACGGCTGAACGTACAGGGTTCATTCCTTTTGAGACAGTCTCAGAATGCCTATGAAAAGCCCTTATATCAGTTCTGACAGCCCTGAGATCCCTCAGTCACGAGTGGTAACACGTACCTGCGCTTATTCAATTTTCAATAGTGCATGGATTACGAAATCAATTAGAATCGACACGGCTGAACGTACAGGGTTCATTCCTTTTGAGACAGTCTCAGAATGGGCCAAAGTAGGTGCCTGAAGTGGACTGACAGCGC